TTGAAAGTGTTGAGAAAGCTTAAACATGTGCCCTAAATGAACTTAATTTCTCAAAGGATTAACAGTCTTTATTTAGGTTAAAATTAGATGTGATGAATAAACATTTCTTTCTACCTTTATTCACCTCTCTCCGCAGCAATAATTTTTAAATGCCGTTTATTGTTTTAAGTCTTTAAATGTTAGCTGTAATATGGAGAAATATGAATATATCTGTTTACAGCAGAATATATTATTTAATTTTCACAGTTGCATTGTGGATATAAAAAATGGAACTAGCCAAGATAGTGCTTCCGGACCTATAGTTATTGTAAATGTATGTTTGCTTTGCATGTTGCTATTTTTCCATTCTCCCCCTGTCAACTTCACTTCCCTCTCCTTTCTCTCTGTTCTCCTTCATAATGTCATTACATACTACAACCTGCACACCCAGATGACAAAAGTGACCCTTGACTTTGGTTATAGCTAAGATCATTACCATTCTCTCTCCTGCCCTCTACTTTTTGCTTTCTATTTCTCCCTTCCACTTCTTTCTCATCAGACACTAGTGTCCCTAATCTTACCAACTCTTGTCAAAACTCTCCTCATAAGCATAAGACTGCTTTTAATCATTATACATCTCAACTTTCTAACATTATTTATCTCCAAGAGACTAAATTGTCTGTCTCTTCTCAGCCTCAAAAACTATCTCTATTAATAACATTACACTCCAATTTCCTGTTACCTTTCAAAATCTGAACTGACAGGTAAATATATGCTTTTGCAGGCCACACTAGTTAATTGCTATGCTCCCAATGTTCATCAGGTCCTTCCTTTTCACACCTTTAGGGTGTTATATCTACTCACAAGAAAGGTACCCTGATATAGATGGGTGACACTGATATGGTTTTGGATAGAAAGTTAGTCACAGCTAACAGCACCCCATATTTCCCTAGGAAACAAACACAAACTAAACCTTTTACAGACCTTATTGTGAAACTTGGTCTGATATATACATGGAGAGGCTTAAATCCCAAGACGCATGATTATGCTTACTTTTCATAATTGTTTTACATGCATAGATCACTCTTTTCTGCATCAACATTTTCTCTCAGACATTACTAAATTTAGATCACTATTAGGGATACACCAATACCATTTTTTTCAAGACTGAGTGTAAGTACCAATACTTTTCCTCAAGTACTCGCCAATACCAATTGCCGATATGTTTTTAAGTCATGTGACAATTTTTTGAAAACAATACAGATTAATGATTTTAGGCCAATGGTGGGGTTCCAGGGCCCAGTCCCAGCTGCAAACTCTGCACCCTTGGTAGTTCTGACACTGACACCAGGCTGTAGAGGGACAACAAATCTCAGCAATACATTTTACAGCCATGCAGAAAACCACCAACTAAAGAGGAGTATAAATCCCAGCAATCCATTATACACCAATGCATAATACCACCAGCTATAGAGGACTACAAATCCCAGCAGTACATTATACAGCAATGCAGAATAATATGAAGCTACATACACTATGTTGCTCTCCAGGGCTATGTGGCATCCCAGGAGGCTGCATAGGTTCTCACCAGGGCTGTGCTGGGTCTAAGGAGACTGTGCAAAGACTTACCAGGGCTGTGCAGTCTCACCAGGGCTGTGTGCGGGTCTCACTAGGGCTGTGCAGGTCTCGCCAGGGATGTGTGCAGTCTCACCAGGGCAGTGTGTGGCCTCACCATGGCTGTGCAGTCTCACTAGGGCTGAGTGTGGGTGTCACTAGGGCTACGCAGTCTCACCAGGGCTATGTGCAGCCGAGTGCAGTCTTACCATGGCTGTGTGGTCTCACCAGGGATGTTTGCGGTCTCACCTGGGCTGTGCAGTCTCACCAGGGATGTGCACGGTCTCCCCATGGCTGTGTGGTCTCACTATGGCTGCGTGTGGGTGCCACCTCGGCTGTGCAGTCTTACCAGGGCTGTGCGCATGTGGAGGGTGTCACCAGGGCTGTATGCAGGAAGTGGGTGTCACCAGGGCTGTGTGTGGGTGGTGGGTGTCACCAGGACTTTGTGCAGGTGGCAGCAGTCACCAGGGCTGTGTAAGTGCGGCAAGAAGGAAAAGGAGGAGGTGTTTGGCCGGACCGGTACTGTAAACAGCACCGCAAAGGTCCTCACAAAGCTATCCTGAGGTCCCCAGCAGACACAGGATCTCGTGGCAGCTGAATACATTTAAAAATCTAAAGCGCTAATATCGGCGCTTAGTATTGGGGCATTTTCGTGAGAAAAAGTGTTCGGGTGGAGCTCCCTCTGACAAAAACCTGAGCTCATCCACATTTAAAATCTCTTAATCAAAACTTTGACTTCAATTAGCCTACTACTCACTTGAACTTTAGGAATACATTTAACTTCCATCCTTATATTCAGTAAATTATCTCCCAACTTTTTAGAGCCTCAAAACTAGGGATGCACTGATGCCAAGTACAGTACTCGGTACAAGTACATGTACCGATACTTTTTGAGCTCCAAGACTAGACTAGAGAAAAATTCAAAAGTTAGGAGGCAGCTGTCATTTGTAAGGAGCACACAAAGCTCCTGGGATTTGTACATCTCTGTTTTAATGTATGATTTTGTTTTGATAAATATAAATAAAGGGATGCACCGATACCAGTTTTGTGAGTACGAGTACTGGTACTTGCCGAGTACTTACAAAATTTGAGTACTGATACATTTGTGTTTATTGTCATGTGACAGTTTTTCGAAAACAATACGGACTAATGATTTCAGGACAGTGGTGGAGCACCTGAGCCAGGTCCCAGCTGCAACCGCTGCAACCCTGGTAGTTCTCATGAAACTGCCAAGTATTGGCATTGGTACTCGAAAAGTGTCAGTGCATCCATACTCAAAACCTTCATTATCCAAACATAACATTTTATGAGTGGGTAGAATTAACCCCGTAAAAATGACCATATTGCCAAATCTCCTTTATTTTTTCTGCCCTTTTTCTATCTCAGTTCTGACTTTCACACTTAGGTGATTATAAAATGTAATGAAACTCATCTGAACTAACAAGATTACGAAGTTTTGTCAAACACACAATGTAAATACACAAACACCAAAGGGGATTGGTGTCCCTAAGTGAAAAAACTAAGGAGGACTGGCAACAAGTTAGTCCACAGTGGCTTCCTGTTTTATTCAATAACCCTTTGCCGAGAGACCCTTGATTGGCCTTCTCCCTCTCACACCTCCCTTCCTTACCAAATCTCTATTCAGATTAGCTAGTTATGTAGTATTAGTATGTATTATTATTGGAAAACCTCACTAAGACTTGGAAGAAACAGTTTATATAATTTGTGGAGGTAAGGTGACAGAGGGAATTTTTTATCGAAGAAAAACTTACCAGTATTCCTCTGTGTTCTCACAAGATATTTATAAAAGTGTGGACCCCATGGATCCAATATGCTCATGCTTCTCTTCCACCTTGTTTCCCCAGCTTGCACCTTGGTACAGAAATCAGAATGTGAACAAAAGCTCTTTCTTTCAAGTACAGGGGCTGACATCACTCCTTGAACTGTTGGGGCCTGAGTTGAGAATGATAACTGAGAGGGGTATTGATGAAATGTTACAGTGAACTATCAGTAGTGAACTATCAGTATACTAAAAAAATACTTTTTTACTCTCTTGTCAGCTCTATAAGGGCAATAAAGCAACTAGACACCATAGAGTATAAATTATGTGAGACTAGCTTGTTCTTTTAATAAGCCGATGGAATCATAAAAGGAAACAACTAAGTCAGATCACAGCTTTAGGACTTGCAGAAAAGAAGAAAATACCAACATAGGTACCAACATTTCTCTGCAACATATACTGAAATTTGCACCCTGCTGTGAATTGGCATCCTGGGGGAGCAGTGACATCACTCCCTAGGTCATGCAATGCTTCATCATAAGGGAACAGGTCAAATGCTCCTCTCTACCCATAAGCTCTGGGGATTCTCTCCAGCTGGGAGGAGTGACAAGGAATCATTAGTAAGCAGGGCATAAAGGGGTCTAGGGGTGCCCTTTTCAGAGACACTGTTACTTTGCTCTGCATGGGCAAGTCTCTTTAAAATAAGTTAAACTTGGTGGCAAATTGTAGCACCTTGTTAGACACAGTTAAAATACCTTACTTAGTCTTCTTCTGTGAAATAGGAACTGTGGCAGTGTAATGTTTTTAGGTGCTTTAAAAAGCCATCTTTTTATATAATGAAACAAATCTCAGCGGTCTTTGCCAATCCAGAACAATCAATGACAACACATTTTTCATTACTCTGACCTTTCTAAACTACTAAAACCTAGTTGGTTGCTATAAGTAACAACAATTAGTCAACTGGATATGCTTTTAACTAGGAGTACATGTACATGCAATACATTTATAAATAAATGTTTGAAAAATATCATGACAAATTATCAAAAGTTACAAAAAATACCAGTTTGCACATATTATTTATGTGTTAATGTGTTACTTCATCTGTAGTACAGCCACGCACATGCAACAGTAATGCTTTCTTACCACTTCATTGCTAAAGTGGTTTTGTTTATGTATTTGTGCTTACCCATTTTCTGACTAGAAGCCTAGGAGCCATTTTGGGTCCCCTGGCTTATGAGAGCTACCTAACCAAAGCCAATGAGCTCTTTGAATCAGATTTGGCCTGAGCACAAAAGAGGAAGATTCAGTAACTTATACCCATATCTCAGCAATTAAAACATGGCAGAGCTTCTCACTTTTCTAGACTCAACTTATTAAAAAATGTATTTCTATTTTGCTCACTTCCTGTCTCAGTGACCACAGAGAACATGAAAGAAAACATCCCCAATGACTTCAGAAACCTGACAGATGTTTTAATCCCTCCTCAGTGTCCAAAAACAGTATTGTAGGTTGGAGTTGGACTCTAAAGTTCTAAGATATTTGCCCATTGTAACTCTTTCATGTCTGCACCATGGATCATTTGTAAAGCTTTATTTGAGTAAAAAAAAATATAAAAGTCAACCATCAATCCATTTTTATTAAGAAAACATATTTTACAAAATGCATAGATATACATTCTCATTGCACCAAAGACATATTAAACAGTTTCCTATTTACAAGTAAGTTTTAAAGTGAAAGAATCAGTGTGTTTTATTGTTTCTTATGAATAAAGCTACCAAATTTTTGCATGAACCTGCCAAATTTGTTTTCATTAGGTTGTACCTGAGGTGAGTTGTAAACATTGGATGCGTAGCTTGAGACATGTTGGGGTCTTGAATAAGTAGGGGCATTGTTTACCATACTTTTATTTTTGAAGTCTAAAACCTGATGAGTGCTATTTTGTGGATTTGAAGTAGGCATATTGTTTTGTAACCTATAAAATGGCTCAAAGCGACTATACACTCTTCTATCACTTGTGTGAGAATGGCTTGAGTCCTCCTGAGGCTTTGGAAATTCTGACACAGATGGTATTCTGTTTATATCTCTATGTGGAAAATCTTTATGGTGCATATCTCTGTGCTGTGAGTGCCTTAAGTGCATTTCTCTTTGTAACATGGGTGGTATGTCGCCATGATGCACCTCTCTCTGAGATAATTCCCTGTGGATTGTTTCTTTTGGATGCCTTAAAGAAAGTTCCCTATGAATTGTAGGAGCTACTGTTCTTCCATATGGGTTGTTGTTGGTTTGCACTTTTGTATCTTGGAACTGAATTTGCTCTGTATTAAATCGTGGAGCAGAAGCATCACCAGTGTTTTCAAGAAACTTATTTTCAACAGCAGTAAGACCTGAGGACTGATTTGATCTGCTTTCATCAGCAAGATTCATATTAGACTTACTAGAACCTAGCCCTACATTCTCCTTACTTTTGTTGAGGCTCATCTGAGAGGTTGATAGTACTGCCTTTTCCTTCTTAGGAGAGGAATCATTTTTGGTTTCAGATTTTTTCGGACTTTTAGGAAATTGCTGGTCATCATCTTCAGAAATAAGAGTGTCAGAGCTACTACACATTCTGTAGAAGGCAGGGGCTTTATTTTTTGATAGGGTTTCTTTTTTATCTGGTGCCAGATTGAGTAATGACTTGAGCTTCTTTGAACCCTTTTTAAGAAAACTAGGTGAACCTTTACTTTCCTTCTTCCCAGGGGAATCTTTGTTGCTTTCCTCATCTAAAGATTCAGTGGATACAGCACCTTTTACAGGTTCTGGTGGCTCAATGCTGACTTTTTCATTAACTTGAGATGAGCTATTTTCTAATTTCTCAGCAGTTGTGGGATTTTGTGGTGCAGGGTTTTCAGTCTGCCTCTTCACCAGTGAATTGTAAATATAGTTTGGTGGAATTATATTGTTACTTTGACCTAAATTTACTTTGCGACTTTCAAAAAGGGGCAAGCTACGTCGCTTTAGAATATTGTCATTTGGATTTCTAACACTGTCTGTTTGTCTGTTTTTAGAAAGTGATGTATACAGGTAGCTTGATGGCCCTGGGTTAGTGTTGTAATGTAAACCATGAGTCATAAACTGGGTGTTATCTGGCACTTGTAGACTATGCCTTTTTAAGACATCATGATGTTGTGACATGTGAGGTGTGTCATACCTTGTGAAATTGCTGACATCTTGTGATTCTGGAAATCTGATACACTGTGGTGTTGATGGAGTGGCTTGTGGAGTGAGGCTACCCTGAGAATCTACGATAGTGGAATTTGAGTGAGAAGAGTTTGTAGTGCAACTTCTAGTTTCTTTTTGCTCTGGTAAAGTGGACTTGTACAGAATTGATGAGCGAATTCGTGTGTGGCTGTACAATTGATTGTCCACTGCATTTTCAACTCCCTCATTACTGTCAATTCTATCTGCCATAATCTCGTTTGTGTCCGGCGGTATATCAGAGTGATCATTCAAATAGGATTCAATTCTCCAGTTTCGCAAGAAGGACTTGGTTGTATGTTCCAGTGTGGGCATTCTCTGCTGCACTGATCTAACATGGTTGTCTGTGCCATGGAAAGACCTTCGTATGCTTGAATTTCTTTCAGAAAGGTTTGGTGTTATTCTTTGTGACAGTTGATTTGCAAAGTTTTGTGTTGTTGAACCATTATAGTTGCTAGAATAGCCCCCTCTGGATGCGGACCCTATACTGCCAATATCTGGCTGTCTATTCCAATGCATTTGAGGATTGTGCATTCTGTTGTTCACAGCTCTGTTCAGCATTAAATAGGGAGATGACTCTGTTTTTTCCCCTGCAGCATAACTGTGTCTTTTCCAGTTGTCATTGCGATCAAACTGCTGGACCTGATTGATTTTATTTTGAGCATTGTATCCTCTAAACGATAAGTTCCTTGTGATGAACTTATCATCTTCATTATTTATAAATCGACTCCGTGCTTTTAAAAAGGTAGAGTCCAATGTGTGCATTTGATCTTTTCTCCCAAAAAGGCTTCTTTGACTTGAAGCGGATAGAAGCGAAGAAATTGAGTTTTGATATGAATATGAACCATTTTCCCATGGGATTTTTTTGTGTTTTCCTATGATGGATTCTTCTGGGCCAAATGCTGCAGGAACACAGGAGCGAGCATAGAGTGTTCGAAATTCTTCATCAAATGCCTCAACAAGTTTACCAGTGATGACTTGAATCATACTTAGATGAACTTTTTCAAATGACCACATGAAGCTTAAAAAAAATATGCATATTGTTAAGCTATTGCAATAAATATTTTAAAACCAATATTTAGAGTTAGCATAAATAAGCGATACACAGTTTGAGAATTTTTTAAAACACATTTTACTCTCTGATCATTGTTAAGCCAACCTAAACTGATCTTAATGAATCTAAGTAACTTTTGAAATGTTACAGTAAGGGGTATATTTATATTTTTTCCACACAGGATTTGCACATTTATTATTTTTTTTTTAAATAGCTGAATATTTGGTGAACACTGTAACAATCTTGTGTAAAAAAAAACTCCTCGGCATGTATTTATTATCTGGGATCAAACTTTGAAAGCTAACCACAAATCAAATACAGTAATACCTTGGTTTACAAGTAACTTGGTTTGAGAGTGTTTTGCAAGACAAGCAAACATTTCTGAAAAGGTTTGCCTTGATATACAAGCAATGTCTTGCAATAAGAGCAACATTTTGTAGAAAAGCACCACCCGAATAAGGCTGTAGCAGTGCGAGCGATGAGTCTTTTTAACGACAATGCAATGTCACATTGATTAGATTCCTTGTTAAGGTTTCACGAAATGAAAAAGAATCCATTGAGTCAAGGGATAGCAGTGATTCTGTTAGTGATAGTGAAAGTCGTCCTACACAATAATCCTCCTCTCTCGTCCCCCTCACACCAGCCACGAAGGTACCGGTAATTGTTTTTTTTTTCTTTATATTTTGTACATTATTGTTATTATTATTTGTACATGTATTGTAATCATTGTTATATGAATATTTTTGGGTTGTGGAACGAATCATCTGAATTTCCATTATTTCCTATGGGGAAATTCGCTTTGCTATACAAGCGCTTTGGATTACAAGCATGTTTCCGGAACAAATGATGCTCGTAAACCAAGGTATCACTGTACTGAGGCTCCCTCTAATGAAAATTGCATTTCAGAATGATCAGAAAAGACAACAACATAGACAGCAGTTGTTTTGACTTTTCCAATTAAGCCGATTTAAGCCTGGTTCTTTCTCCTCTCAACTCTTTGTCTCTTTAATGTTATGCATGGTCTTTCTGACATGCACATTCTAATTTCCTTTTCTGAAGCACATTCTGTATATATTCCTTTGGATAAATCACTAAGGCTGTCTAGACTATTCTTCATATACTGTATATATAGGAGACAGTCCCCATTCCCAAAGATAGTCTCCATTTTGCGGGGTCTGTTCCCAGTAAACAAGCAACCCCAAAGTTGTCTCCTGCAACTGGGAGGTGCAGTTCAGGGGTGTTTTTATCCTGAGGAGCAGATGCAGCAGCTATATAGAGCTGAGGAAGGCTCCCCTAAGTTCCTCCTTGGCTCTGATATACAGTGTTATATAACACTGCTAAGGGGAGGATTTCCACTCACTGTGCCCTGCTGCTGTATCTGAGGCCTGATAAGTGGAATTTAGAGGGGTCTGTACTGTGGGAAGAGAGGTCTGTACTGGGGTTAAGGTCTGTTCTGGGGAAAAGGGTCTGTATTGGGGAGAGGTCTGTACTGGAAGGGTGGAATGGGTCAGTATTTGGGGGTAAGGTCTGTGCTGGGGGGAAAGATGTGCATTGTGGGGGAGGAGAAGTCTGTACATGGGGGATTTAGGGGAGAAGTCCGTAATAGACATGTAACCCTGCAAAACATTTGTTTGATTTCAGATCGATTTGAATTTCTATTGCCTTCTGACTTTGGATCCGAAATTCAATTCTGTTCATTATTCTGATTTCACATGCATCCAAATTTTCTTTTTAGAAAGATCCACAACAGGAAGTCATGAGACTGTACCTGTAATGCAACCCCCAACAGCCCCAACAAATCTGATTGGCCAGAGAACAGTCACATGTCCGATTTAGTTTAGTTTTGAATAAGATTTGGATGGATCTGCATTTTTATTAAACAAACATTCAGATTTGTTTGCATTCGGACACTTTTGAGTGCAGAATTTCAGATGCATCCGAATGTCAGAATTTAATTAAATTCGTACGAATGTCCATTAGGAACAAAATGAAAATTACATGTTACTATACTGAGGAGGATTTAGGGAGAGAGGCCCGTACTAGGTGATTTGGAAAGATAGATCTATTCTGGGGGAGTTTGGGGATCTGTAATGGGAGGGATCTGTACTGGGAGAAGGGGGTAATTTTTACACTGGCCTGGATGATACATATTCCTGGCCCCTACATGCTGCGATATTCCTGGCCCCTGCCCTCTGTATGTTAAGAACTCTTACCCCTTGCATTCTATGCATTACACACCCCTAACCCATTCCCTCTGTGCATTGCATACTCCTGATCCCTGCACACTCCTGAGGTCTGCACTCTGCCACACACCCTTGGTCTCCATTTGTTCTGCATTATACACTCCTGACCCTTTTGTTCTATGCCTTATGCACTACTGACCCCTGCAGTCTATACATTACGCATTGTAGAGTAGGCTAACATTTTATTTAACTATACCTTTTAAGCACCTCTCACTATTAACACAATTTGGCCACACCCACAATACCCTGTGGTGCACAGCTCTGCTCATAGTGCCCAAGACATTTTGCCTTTGTATGCTGTACTTTGAATATCTGCCTCTTTTAAAAAAAATCTGTGACCAATTATGTTAGGGCATCTTAAAAATGGGGATGTGATGTTGTGGGTGTGGCTACAAATGGGGATGTGTTTTGTCGGAATGGTTAAAAGGGGGCATGGTCAGCAGGGTATCCCTGGATTTCATTCTGGAAATCTGGCAACTTTATACTAGAGGGGAGTAAATCTGTCATCTTAATAGACTAGTTATTTTCATATTAACCCTGATAGTACCTTTGTTATATATTTTATCAGCACTGAGCCAAGCCATGACTTAAGATGAAAGTTTGCACTATTATGACAATTCACTAGTGAAGTTTCATATTATTACAGATGTAAATTTCTGATTGATTTTCTTTAAAGCAGTAATAATGATAAGACATATTACCTGTAAGTGCCATACATAACTTTCTCACAGTCAACTAGCAGAAACTTCTGTTCCATCTTTCCACAAAATTTGGCTCCTGATTTGGAAATATAGTCTTGGCCTTTAACTGTTCTAACTCGCATATTCTGTAAGAAAACAAGTAAATAATTTACAATAACATAAAAACAATATTTCCCTTTGCATGATTGGCCCAAATATACACAAACAATAATAGATAATTATTATTATTTGTGAAGTGTATATAAGTTTTTATTTAAAAGAGTATGAAAGTGTTACAATTTCTGTCTTATTATACTGTGGTCTGTATCACTGCTAAGGCAATTTATCCCATCTATTTTTCCTGGTGACCATTGACACTAGGACTGAAAGTGAGGGAAATGTTTTGTTTCAAATGTCAATTTATGCAACAACATTTTACTTTGAATTGTAAGAAGACAATGGGGTCTATTCACGAAGCTGCCGAAGGATCTTGCCGTAGCTTCGGCCGATCCTTCAGCTAGCTTCGGCTCCAGGACCCCTTCGGTTCAGTCAAACTGAAGGGGTGCTTGTGAATAGACCCCAATGGCTTTCCTAAGCCTTGTCTCTACAATAAACTAATTCTAAATTGAGGAAGCATAAAAAACAGGGAGGGTTTAGCTAGGATTGCATTATCTAGCACTAAAGAGGAGGGGGAACAAGGGCACATGCCGCCACACTGACACTAGGGGGGTTATTCACAAAGCTAGCCGAAGGATCAGCCATAGCTCCGGCTGATCCTTCAGCTAGCTTCAGCCGACTGAAAGCCTGCTACTGGCAGCTGGGCTGGCCAGCTGATCTGTCATTACAATGAGAACTCGGGGAGCCACCATGATATCACGGTGGCTCCGTCAGCAGTGATATCAAGGCCGGCCCTGCTGAGCTCTCATGACAGTTCAGTGTTCCCTGGTTACTAGGTAACCAGGGGACACTGAATTGTCATTACAATGAGAACTCGGCCAAGCCATTAGACAGTTCAGCGTCCCCTGGTTGCCCTCAGGCAGCTCGTTGACCACCAGCTCTACTTATACTGCAGCCAGCAGCAGGCATCCATAATGCAGCCTGCCAGTCCTGGGAACATGGTACTTTGCCTACCCCCAGGGCAGGGGAACGCATGCAGCCCCGTCCATGGCCTCCATCCATTAGTACCCCCGCTCCATTCAGCAGTGTCCTCCTAGTGGCACCAACATAATCCTGGCGTGGAAACTGTGAGTGGAGCCACTGCGGGCAGTCCCCGCCTCCTCCTTATCCTCCCCCCCAGTCAGAGAATGTGGCTCTACTGGCTCCCACACTCCCTCTGCAGCTGGACGACAGGTGGCAGGTACCCCGGCCTGCTGTGTGATCTCTGCATGTGGGGTGTACGGGGACACTGTGCCAGTTCAGCGTCCCCCTGGTTACCAGGTAACCAGGGGACACTGATCTGTCTTTATAATGAGAGCTTAGCGGAGCCGGCTTTGATATCACCGCCGGCTCCGCTGAACTCTCATTGTAATGATAGCTGGTCCCGGCCAATAGAAAAGAGCTAGCTGCCACTGCTAGCTCTACCCAATTGTTTTCTTTTTTTAATAGTTTTTCTATTCTGCTCGGTACCACAGAGGTACCGAGCAGAATAGCCGAGCCGAATGTCCGCTTGGCGGCATTCAGCTATTCACTCACTGCTGTTCAGCCCCTATAATAATAGGCTAAACAGAAGCGAGTAGCCTGCCGGAGGTTCACCACAGCCGATCCAGATGTTGGAATCGGCTTAGTCGAACTCCTTCTGCACTTCAGGTCGGCCGAACATGCTGAGTATGTTCAGCTGACCCAAAGCCAGCCGATGTACGGCTGATTTCAGCCGATGTACGACTGAAATCAGCTGTACAAGCCTGAAGTGAATAGCCGAACGGCTTTGTGAATAACCATTTAGGTGCCAGCAGACACCCCTTATCACTAACAATACAATGGGATAAAATAGAACAAACAATAGAAAACAAATAGGGGACACAAAGAAAACTAAAAGACAAAAAAAAAAAACTTGACAGTGGTTTTACCATCCCTAAGCAATGCAAAACTAAGAAAAATGTTTTATCTATAAATATATTTTACATGGAGGGATTATTTTAATAAGAACAACAACAATCTTTTTGTGTTTGGAATGCTCTTTTTGAACGACAGCAAAGAACTGCAAAATAAAGT